TTTCAAAGGCCACAGGTAAGGATTCTAAGATGATGACTATTAAAGCACAAACAAAGGCAGCTTCTTGAAGACACTGCTGTGCGGCCGATTTCCTGTCACCATCGAAGACCCCGGGAATGATCACTCCTGTTCGCTCAGGTGTCCCATCCAGCTCGCACACGCGGAGTGAGATCTCAGAAGCACAAGCGTTTCATGGGAAAGCACGGTGAGAGAGAAAGACAGCTGTTTGTGGCTGCACTGGACCCCCAATCTGCCTGAGATCCGGCTCCATGGTGACAGGTGGGGGTGTCCGCTCCTAGCATGGCGACGGCACAGCCGTAACGCTGGGTGTGGGGGTTGGGGGCCTCCCATGGGGCCCGGCCAGCAGCAGTGCTATGAGTAGATGGTGATGACCTCCCGTCCACCACCTCGCACGAGCAGCACACAGGGCAGGCCCTCCATCAGCACCTCCAGGAACTCCATGTCTGGGGTCGTCGTCATCAAGGCTCATCCTGCTTCTCACATTGACAGACATTGGAACGCGCTACTTGGATGATATGAGAACCTGGTCTGGTGACCCATATTCACAAACATACACTATATGGACAGAAGTATTGGAACACACCCCATAATCGTTGAATTCAGGTGTTTCATTAAGACCCATTTGCGCAGGTGTATAAAATCAAGCATTGAGCCATGCAGTCAGGTTTACAGACATCTGTGAAAGAATGGGTCGCCCTCAGGAGCTCAGTGAATTCAAGCGCGGTACCGTGATAGGATGCCGCCTTTGCAATAAGTCATGGTTGGGTGAGTTTGGTGTGAAAGAACTTGACTGGCCCACACAGAGCCCTGATCCCAACCCCATCGAACACCTTTGGGATGAACTAGAATAGAGATTGCGAGCCAGACCTTCACATCCAACATCAGTGTCTGACCTCACAAATGTTGTTCTGGATCAATGGGCAAAAACTCCCACAGACAGACTCCAAAATCTCGTGGAAAGCCTTCTGAGAGGAGTGCCAGCTGTTACACGTGTAACTGCAAATGGGGGACTAACTCCATACTGATGCCTATGGATTTAGAATGGGACGTCATAAAAGTTCCTGTGGGTGTAATGGCCAGGTGTCCCAATACTTTTGCCCATATAGTGTATATATGTTTGCCATGTGGCACAGATTGGGGTAGCTGTACTGCAAAGGATACAGTTCTCATCGCCACCCTTGTTCTTGGGTGGCCCTGGCATGTTGAGCAGGACGAGCTGGGCCTCCGTGGACTTGCTGGTGAGAGCCTTGTTCAGCTCCACCGCTGTGTGCATCCTCCGCACGTTGGACTGGCTCCTGAGGCAGGACAGAGGTGCACATTCCAAAAGTTTGCATATTTCCAGTTTTCAGTTTTAATGAGGATATGCTTGTGTTTATAAAGACAGGTTGCTGATAGTTCAGCAAGTTCAATACCTAGGCTAATAATGAACTAAAATGAGTAAGAAAAATTCAGTCAAAAGGGGAATGTCAATCGTCCCCTGTTGCCAGCTCCATATTTTCCAGTAATATATCACAAAACCACCATAATCCATACTTTTTAATACATGCAGTGTATCATCATAAGGCTCAGAAGAAACTCTAAACAAACACAAACATGCAAATGGCTCAGTGCTACAACTGTGTTGTCATGTGTGTTAAATAAGGCCCAGCATATCATGTGTGCTAAATAAACCTCAGCATAGCATGTGGGCTAAATAAACCCCAGCATAGCATGTGTGCTAAATAAAACTGAGCGTAGCATGTGGGCTAAATAAACCCCAGCATAGCATGTGTGCTAAATAAAACTG